GGGGGGGACAGTAATAAATATATGTCTACCATTTTTCCAAACTTGCTACAGAATTTAGGTTTTTTGAAAAAGAATATTTCTGAGTTTTACCTCTTTGGAGCAGTCATCTTCTTTGATATGGTACTGCCAGGTTTGAAATTATACTATCACAGAGGAAAATATGTTTAAAGAGCATTTGGCCTGAAGAATAGGAACTTGGCTAGCAGGTATACAAAATATATTTGAGGTCTGTAAATAAATAATAATTTTGAATTAAGCCAGGAGACATGGAACACAATGGGACAGTTATTCCAAGAGTTTAAAAAGACTCTACCTCCCCAAATCTTGACTATTTCTAGCCTGATAACTTTTTCCTCCCCCCATGGTCTTTACTTGTTGTTAGACTGTGGCTACAGCTGGTGAATCTGGTGTGAGTGTATAAAAATGAACAAAAAAGTGCACTGCATTGCCCAGTGTTTCTTATTTTCACCTTTTCCCAGTCACAATTACGATAACAACAACATTTTTGAGTAATAGGGGGAGAAGTATGGGAGAGGAAATAGAGAACCCTTGCCTAGTGTTCAGTAGCAGAATCAGAGTGAACAGAAAGTTTCACAACAGATTGATCTCATCAATCCCCTCAAGGAGCTGAAGGCAAAATGAGTGAAACTCCTAAATCAGATTGAAAAGCCTATTTCATTGATATCCAGCATGTTTGATGTTTAAGCCAGCTTTGTATAAGCCACATCTCAGCCTCCAGAATACTCTCTCTGGGGTTGAGAGTCAATCAACCCACAGGCATTCATGGAGTGCCTGCCTGCACCGAGGGAAGCTGAGTGCCTCCATCAAAGGGACACCTACAGAAGTCCCTTAAACACTTCTCTCCCTACCCTTGGCTTCATCTGTCATGGGAGGGAAGGCATTATTGGGGACCTCCCTTTTGCCACGAACTGTGGGAAGCCTTTTTCAGACTTTAAATCTATTCGCAACCAGGTATATATTATCAGTCCCAATTTCATAGATGAGTAAAATGAAATCCACTGACGATGGGCAGCTTTCTCATGAACTGTCAGCTAGGTCTGGCTGACTACAAAATGCAAGCTCTTTTTACTCCATCACGTTCTCCATATGGGAGAAAAGCTTTCTGCCAATCATGCAAGAATCCAGTTGTTACTGCCCAGAAGTATATGCCTCTATCCCATATGGGTGACACAACTGTTACAGCACCAAGTTGGCAGTGACCAAGAGCCGTGTGGCCTTGGGCGAGTACAGACCTCTCCCCATCACTGACCTATCAATGAGCTGAGAGACTGATGGCTTTTTAGGCAATTGTACTTTTTGAGCCATACAGGAGGGTGAGTTAAAGGGGCCAAGTAAATATTGCTTGTTAGTTGGTAAAGATTAGGCTCACACAATGTTAATGTTTTCTTTCCTGATGATTTGTTCCTAAGGTAGGGAGGGAAGGAGGATTGCAACTGGGATTAATAAGAAGCTCTGTCTCTCTCTATCTTCACATTTCAACGTTAGGATCTAATGTTCTGCCTAGGATGGCAGGGCTGCAAATTATCCTTCTGCCTGCCATTGTGACACAAACACATGCACGCACCACAATGATAATCCAGTCTTTTGTCATGTGGAAAATCAAAACAAGTTAGAAAGCATTCAGACTGTTTCTTTTAAACTCACTTTAAATTTCTGGCAGGGAATACGTGCATAGCTGAGACTTGGAGGTAGCCTGTGCTAACTTCACACTGGTCCTCAGGCACCTGGGGATTGATATCAAAAGGCTTTCCGTGGCCTCGCTGCTAAAGGCGTGATGTATGGTGCTCCACTGGAGACCAGCTATCGGGATGTTCAGAGGAGAAACCATCTCTCCGTGTTGGCCCGAGGCTGGTGCTGAGTAAATTAAAAAGACCGACAAGGGCTTTCTCCCTCATATCATTTCGTTCTAAAGTAGCACACTTGTCATATCCCTGGGGTCCTGTGTTGATAGAAACGAAGAGGTGGGGACGCGGTTTGTTCTCCAAAAACTGACTGCACACCTACATGCTGAGTGAAGCTCAGGGAAGCGATGCCAACAGACAGCGTCTGGGCCTAAGGATCCACAGGAAGTCGGCAGCCTTAAGATTCCCAAACCAAATCAATTCCAGGTACATTAGTGTTAAAAGCAGAGAAAAAGAGAGAAAAAATATTCCCCAGGGAGTTCCACATCCTATGGACTCCTGCAACTCCCGGGTAGACATTCCTTTCCTTCTCTTGGCAGTGGCAGGCCCAGTAATGAGACTGCGATGAGATGTCTGTGTGTGTATCTGTGTATGTTTAAATTATTATTATTATTATTATTATTATTAAGGACTAAGATACAGACTATCTATTCTTCCTCCTTCTCATTCATTGGCAGCCTCCTCTTGGTAACTGCAGAAAACCTGCCCCCAAAATTATTTGAATTCCCTTTCTAATAAGTAATTATATTAGCAATCAGTTTTAGGCAACAGTTAAAGATAGCATGTGTGCTGTAAAAAATTATTTAAAATGTGTTTTTATCATCTAAAGGAGATAACTGTCATAAAAAGTTTGAGCCAAGGTTTGAAATGTGAGGATTTGTTCAAAAGTCTGCCTAGAGATACCATGAGGATGGGAGGGGTCTGCCGGTTAGACCTGGCAAGGAGGCGAGCACAGGTGGCAAAAAATAAATCTAAGCCTGTCACGTAGGATCCTCCGTTTGGCCGATTTAACAAAGAAACTCAAAAGGACAGTGACTTCAATGAGATGGAATAATTGTTCTCTCCCTTAAAAGACAAACTGGTTGGATAACTGGTGCGCGACATTATCAGAAACGCAGGCCCTCTCTTGTTGCTCTTTCATCCTAACTTGCAGCTTCCATGTCATGGTCCAAGGTGACTGCTGCGGCTCCTGTCATCTCGTTTATACTTAAGACAGCGGAGAGGAAATGGAGGGAAGTTGCACACCACTTTTAGTCCCATCTTATGGGCTAGCACCTAGCCATTTAGCAGCAAAGAAAGTCAGGAAATGCCTTCATTATTGGTTGCCATGTGCCTTGATAAATATGAAGGTCCTATTATTAAAGAAACAATGTAAAAATTAATACTGATGAAAACGATTAGTCTCTGACACAAAAGATAATTAAAAATATATCAAGTACTTTTCAATGTCATCTATGTTGTCATATATTTTACAATGGATACGATTAAAATTCATAATTTTGTATAATATTTGATGCTTTTAAAAACATTTTTACATTTAGTATCTCATTGATCTTCGCTACATTCTTAAATAAATAGGATCTCTATTCATTACCCATTAGATAGTTTGACATGAAATTCAGAGATGTTGAAAGACTTCCCAAAGATTCTAGTTAACAAGAAAGTTCCTCAGAGCCCCAGTCTTTTGACTTCACAGCCTTTCCAACTATTTAATTCTGCTCAGCATTAGTTTGGGGTTTGGGAATTGAAAAAATACAAATCTAAATCTTTATTGATTTATATCATCCCTTACCTTTTCATAGAACTGCAGTGACTTAGATAATACCAAGGAAACTGGTAGAGTTGGCCCTTAAGCGCCTGCTTCTAGTGAGGAAGCCTGTTAATTGGAGTGAAATGGCCAAAAGATTGGCAGTGTTGCAGGGGCAATTGAGAAGCACAGACACTCAAACACTTCTTGCTGGATGCTCACTCCCCCAATCTCAAAACTATTCGAGGTGAAGGCTGAGGGGATGGGCTTATACCTCCTTGGGGAAGCTCAGTGTTTTAGAATCAGTAGCAGCCTAAATAGTGAAACTTAAGGAGTGATCAATAGAACCCCTCCTCTAAAAATTTTCTTTCCTCTCTACTTCTTCCCCAGGTCCCCAGAGTTTTATCAGCCACTTATTTCTTTGATCCTTAAGAGGTTTCTTTTTTCTTTTTTCTTTTTGGTGTTCAATGACTCCCTTTCCACATTTGCTAGAGAGAGGAAATGCTTTAAGCTGTCATAAGCTAATACCTTCACACAGAAAATTAATCTTATTCCTTTCCAACAATGACCTTTAGCTTAGAACAAGGTCCTATATAATAGGATCACACAGAGGTGGGAGTTAGGAAGAGTGGGAATAACTATAGGGGAAAAAAAAGAGTAGAGCTCTTAAAAAAGAAGCAGATCTTGCAAAGGTGAAAAGATGAGGAATTAAATATGTTCCAGAAAATATTGAAAAATAGGAAATAGCTAATATACAGCTTCTGTCTCAGGAGAAAGGGCAGTATGAGACTATAATTCTTTTGGCCACTTAAAAGCACAGAAAAGGGTATGAGACTCCAGAGACGAGACAAGAATGTGGGGATAGTTCTAGGGACTGAAATAAAGCCTGAGTGAGTAGGATGAGTTGGCTCAAAGAAAAAGCTGGGTCAGACTTAAGCAAAGAACACCTTGATCTGGTCACAGCTGTGCCTCC